GAAAAATATTTATTTGGGTTTTCGTCTTATTTTGACTTGTTTAATCTTTTCCTAAATTTATGCCAATAAGTTTAGGGACACCTTGTATATAGTGGCAGGAACAGCTGATACTCTGGATGATACCCCACAAACACCAGTCGGTAAAAAGCGGTGTCAAAAACAACAATATGACACGTTATTTCTGCAAAATTTGTAAAAAATATGTGTCTCAAACATGCAGAATTTCGTTGCCCTGAATGTGTGGCACCACCGCAAATTTTTTTATAATCCGGTTCCTTATGTATGTTTTATAAAAAAAATATTTTTTTGTTTTTTATGCTATAATACATTTTTTACTTTTGTTTACCTCTGATGTTTTATTTGTAAATTATAGCCATTTTGTATTTTCAGGTATTTTTCATTTCAAAACAATTAAACTTGTTCAAAAATGTATACATATATTAAAAATATATCCAAATAGAGAAACAACAGCTAAAAAGAAAAATATATACAGGGTGTCCGGGAAAATGTGGGAAATATCTTGGATTCAGATAAAATATGAAAAAATAAGATTACATGTTCCTATAAAAAAATTTCCTACTTGCCCTCCTTACGGAGACATGAGCCCCGAAAGGACTCCCCTGCAAATTGGTTTTCCTTGAATAACTTTTAAAGTACTGAATATAATTTAATACAAATTTAATATGATGGACCCTGGTAAGGATCTTTTAAAATAGTGTCCTTGAAACATGTTTTGCTTTTTTTGTTTACCAGGGGCGGACTAAGTAATACACCTTAATGCTTAAATTTTTAACACCCCGTATGATAAAGACTTAAAAAAACTTAAACTAAAATAAAGGTACTCTTGTTTATTGTCAATAAAATGAACCGTTTTCGAGAAAAATAATAATAAACGAATTCATGTTTTATTTTTAATAAAAAGGACCATAAAAAAATAATATAACGTATTGTTGCAAACCTTAAATTGAAGGAAGATAATTCGAAATAATGAATTAAAAACTCTATAAGAGGGTTCAACATGAGCTCCGTGAACTCTGATACATTCGCGGGCACGACGAATTGAGGACTGCTGTACCCGCCACAATAACCCAGCATTGTTTCTTATCATATCACAATGAAACGTGATTATCTGTAGAAGTTCCTCCATAGTATCGATCGGAGTGGAATACACCAAGTTTTTTAGGTGTCCCCATAGTAAAAAATCCATCAGCGTAAGGTCGGGAGATCGAGGAGGCCAGTCAATAGTCAATAGGTCCTCCTCTACCTATCCGGTTTGAATAATCGTTATTCAAGTGCTTCCGCACAGCAACGCTGAAATGAGGTGATGCCCGATCGTGCAAGAAGTACATGTTTAGGCGGGTTTCAAGTTGTAAATCCCGAAAAGCGTTCTGGAGAAACTAAAATTATGTTGTCCATTCAATCGTGCCGGAAATACAATTGGTCCAATCAAAATATTGCCAATGATTCCTGCCCACATATTAATTGGTTGGAACTGGTGTTGATAATGCGAAACAATAGTGGCATGAGGATTTTCATGAGCCCATACATGTGTGTTTTGTAAATTCGTGTCACCTTTTTTGGTAAATCCTGCTTCATCCGTGAAAAGAATAGTGCTAATGAAGTTTACATTATTTTGTTGCTGATCCAATTGCCAGTTTGCAAACTGCATTCTACGAGGAAAATCTTCAGAAATAAGTTGATGCACTTTTTGCATATGATATAGATATAACAGCTGTTCTTAAAGAACATCATGCATCATGAAAATTATCAGCACAGATTAATACGTCGAAAACAATAGTGCATGATGTTCTTTAAGAACAGCTGTTATATCCATATCATATGCAAAAAGAGCATCAACTTATTTCTGAAGATTTTCCTCGTAGAATGCAGTTTGGAAACTGGCTATTGGATCAGCAACAAAATAATGTAAACTTCATTAGCACTATTCTTTTCACGGATGAAGCAGGATTTAAGAAAAAAGGTATCACGAATTTTCACAACACACATGTATGGGCTGATGAAAATCCTCATGCCACTATTGTTCCGCATTATCAACCAATTAATATGTGGGCAGGAATCATTGGCAATATTTTAATTGGACCATTCGTATTGCCGGCACGATTGAATGGACTTTATTTTGAGTTTCTCCAGAACGCTTTTCAGGATTTAATAGAGCCCTTACCACTTGAAGTCTGCCTAAACATGTACTTCTTGAACGATGGGGCACCACCTCATTTTAGCGTTGCTGTGCGGGAGCACTTAAATAATGTTTATCCAAACCGTTGGATAGGTAGAGGAGGACCTCGATCTCCCGACCTTACACTGATGGATTTTTTCCTGTGGGGACACCTAAAAAACTTGGTGTATTCCACTCCGATCGATACTAGGAGGAACTTCTACAGATAATCACGTTTCATTGTGATATGATAAGAAACCATGCTGGGATATTGTGGGTAATGTATCAGAGTTCACGGAGCCCATGTTGAACACTCTTATAAAGTTTTTAATTCATTGTTTCGAATTATCGTCCTTCAATTGCAAGGTTTGCAACAATAAGTTATATTATTTTTTTATGGTCCTTTTTATTAAAAATAAAACATGAATTCGTTTATTATTTTTTTATCGAAAACGGTTTATTTTATTGACAATAAACAAGATTACCTTTATTTTAGTTTAAGGTTCAAGCTATGCAGATTTAGTCTTTGTCATACTGGGTGTTCAAAATTTAAGCATTAAGGTGTAAAACTTAGTCCGCCCCTGGTAAATAAAAAAAAGCAAAAAAATATTTCAAGGACATTTTTTTAAGAGATCCTTACCAGGGTCCATCATATTAAATTTTTATTAAATTATATTCAGTACTTTAAAAGTTATTCAAGGAAAACCAATTTGCAGCGGCGTCCTTTCGGTGCCCATGGAAAAAAAATTATAGGAACGTGTCATCTTATTTTTTCATGTTCTATCTGAATCCGAGATATTTCCCACAATCTCCCGGACACCCTGTATAAGTTACTGAAATTCAATTTTTATTAAATTGAGTCTGTTAGACTCGGCGCCACCGTTCATGTTCTGACAGGATGCGCCACCACTCCAGGATTAAGTTCGGAAGCGCTTATTGGTAAGCTCTTTAGTGAAAAATGTTAACATTTTTAATTTTTTTAAAGGAGCAGCATCAGTTTTTGGTAATACGCCTATTGATGTGGTAAAAACCAGAATGCAAGGGTTGGATGCTCATTTATATAAAAATACGTTTGATTGTGCCATTAAAATTTGGAAAAATGAAGGCCCTAGAGCATTTTATAAAGGAACTATTCCAAGACTAAGTAGAGTATGTTTAGATGTAGCCATAACGTTTACATTATATGATACACTGCAAGAAATATTTAATAAAATATGGCCATAAAAATATTTATTATTAGAATGTATAATGTAATAAAAAACTTGTTTTTTTTTAAATATTTTATTATGTAAAACAAATAAATATATGTATATGTAAAAGATTAAATAATAAAATAATAATCACAGAAATCTACGAAATACTATAATTTTAACAACAAAATAAATCAGCTAACTCTCAATAAATATTTGTTCATTCAATAAGCTCAAATATTGACCATATATTTTTTTTAATATATATTAAATTCACACAGCATGTGACCCTGCAAACTCATGGATTTAAAAAAAAACACAAAGGTAACGAATTAATTAGGGGGCTGTATCGTTTTTTCACTGTAACAGAAAACCTATTCAGTTTCTATCGTTAAACTTTTTAATTACGCGCTTTTAAGATCTATAAAGTAAACTATTGATAATAGGTTAAAAAGTTAATATAATATATATAAAGTTAATATAACATATTATGTTTTGTAGGTTGTTAAAAAAAAACATATGCTATCGCTCGTGTTTCCTTATCTAAAAATAAGACAAACAATTCCTATGTGTTTCGCAGATGCTTTGTTTGAAAGATACTGGGTGTTCAAATTTTATAAATATCAATGGAAAACGCAATTAACATTATGTAAAACTATAACGAGTCAATAAAAATGATAAATTATTCATTTGTTTTGTTTAAGCATCAGCCATAGCATATGGTAATATACAGTGTGGCCCATTTAAGATGGAAACACCCCCGTAACTTTTTTATTTGTTACTCGATTTTAATGAACAAAGAATCAAAAGATAGATAATAAAAAACTCTATTTAAGCAATAAAAATATTTTTAATGTCACTTAACAGATGCCTACTATAACATTTTTGCTATGTCAAAATTCGGAAAAAATTATTAGGGTCGTTTTTTCGAAAAAAAAAAATAAGTAGGTATGCCACTGAATGAAGCATGCTTCAAAATGGTTACAAACCAAATTTCATTAAAAACAAACAATTAATAACTATTTAGACACATTTTTTTTTAAATATTTATAACGAAAAATAAAGCGTAAAACTGACAGATACCTAACCTCAATTATTTGTATTTAAAGTGGGCATTTTGGGTGGTTAGCATAGTACATGGATCAATCATCAATTAGACCTAAAAAAGCGTAGTTTAAAAAAATTTAAATGTTATGGATTTTCTATCTTCTAGTATAGATAGTAATAGATGAATAGTAATAGATTTTTTAGGGATTTTTATGTTACAGTGAAAAAACACCCTAGTATAAATATATCACACAGAGGTATTTAAAATCCTTTTTTATTTAAAAAAAGAATCATTATAAGGCATTTAAACGTTATTTTTTTAAATAATCAGACTTTATCATTTGGTAATAACAATTTTAAAAGTCAGATCTTCTTTCTCAAAGCCAAATAAAAAAACTTTATTATTAAATTTTGATTTTAATATTTTCTGTCGAAAAAAAACCTAACCCATGTTTTTATGGTAATGTCGACCTTAAAAGTGACAGCTGTCAAAAAACAAATCTCTGGTTATGTCGACTTTGAAAACTGACAGCTGTTAATTGTCAAGGTCTTAAAAGCGCTTTAGAAGCTAAATTGGTGTGTCAATGTGCAAAAAAATCACAAAAAATATTTATATATATAGTGTAAAAACGGTGACTTAACCTCTAAATCTTATAATAAACCCAGTATTTAGTAATGTTTTGTCCGTTTTTAGTAAATTATTGTTTTTTTTAAACCCTAGTTAGGTTTGCACGCCGCCATTGTAAGCATAATCAGCTTTGTTATGCATTATTAGACAATCGTCAACGAAATAAAAACTGTCCGATCTCGTCTCAAAAGGGTTAGTAATCATTTCGGCAACTAAAACATATTTTGGTTAATAAAATACATATTTTCTGTAAAAGGTCGTTACGAAAACCTAAAGTCGTTTTTTAATATAAATTTAAAAGGGCTTATGCGATTTTAATAAAATTTGGTTTCTTAGGATTAAAATTATGATTAATATGAATTTATATGTGTACACTTGAGAATAATAAAGTGGGACATGGTGCCAAAAATTATTATTGCAGTGTGAAACCTTTTCTATTATATAGAATTGAAATTTATTTTTTTTAGGTCCACAGTGAATTGTGAGTTATCTATATAATTATAGAAATTACAGTGCGAGAACGTACGACAACTCGTGTTTTTAAGAGCTCTGCGAATTTAGTCTTAATTTATTTAAATTAAAATTATGAGTAACTTTGGTGATGACCATACTGGCAGTGAAATGGAATGGGTCATAGAGGAAGGTCTGAAGAAACGGAAACGCAAAAGATCTAAGAAAGAATTGTTAAATATCAGTATCGGAAAAGGATAAAATACGCGAAATAGTCGAGGCGCAAAAACCACAGGGCAAAAAAAAATCACCGGTAACATTAAAAAACTACACTACACAATGAAAACAACATAAATTAATCTACAGGGTGTCCCCCTAATTATAAAACTAATACAGAAAACTCTAAAAATCCACAAAACTCAATACTCTTTACTAGTGTCCGACCGAAGCTTCGGCTTCGTCCACCTTCGGCCAAAACCAGCCGAAGGATTTTTGCCGAAGCCGAATGTTTGTGTCCAGCCGGCACGCCGGCCTGCCTTCGAAACTGGACGAAAGAAATATTACGATTTACGAATGACGCCGACTTCAGCGCAACGCGTGGTTCCTGCTTCCCGCCCGCATCTCGATTATTTAGACTAGATCGGCCGGCCGACACGGCGTTGTTTGAAGTTCACTATGTATATTGTTATATATTTTTTTTAGTTTAGTCAAATCAATTTTTATAATTTTTTTTTAGTCTTATTAAACCTTCGGCTTCGGCCTAAGGTTACGGCCAAAAACTGACATTCGGTCGGACTCTACTCTTTACCTAATACTTCAAATTCTCAACATTCCTCACCTAATAAAATAAACAACTATTCTCTAAAAATGGACCAAATCATCAACAGAAACTACATTAGTGATTTGGTGTTGGTAGATGAAGTAGTTGTAGTGATGTTACATTGGACTGTCGTTATCTTGGTTTTATTGATTTTCACAACGTTTCATTATCACCTGAGGACGATTGGAGATAACCAATCGAAACGTTGTGAAAATCAAGAAACCCAAGATGACGACAGTCCAATGTACATCAGAAACTACATTAACATTATTTTTATCACAACAAGTAAATATCTCCCAAGAATCCAATTCTCAAATATCTGGAGAGGCAAAAAACGATGTTATCAAAACTAAAAAAGGTTTTATTTTAAAATCTTATACTACAAAAATTAATGATAATGTCATAAAAAGTTTTAAAAACAGCAAAGCTCCAACCAAGGAAAATCACGAACCTCGTAGTAACTTTACCTATGCCGCAGTAATCTCGTCAGTGGAATATGAAATAAAGGATGAAGAAATAAGTTAATGTCTAAAAGACTCTTCAATAAACTTTAGATACTGCAAAATAATAACTTTAAGAGCTATAGGTAATGTTACTAATTTAATTAGAATAATCACAAGATGTATTAAATCTTATGAAAAACTTCTTAATGAGGGAATTTTCTTAAAAAATAGACATTATGCTGTATATACAAGCCTACCTCCCCCAACTCTACCAATTCCATGCAACAATTGCTCCCAGTTCACACACACAACTGATAGTTGTAAAGAAACAACTATCTGTATTAAATGTCAAGGGAATCACAATTCAAACTCCTGTCAAACAACTGTCCCTCCAAAATGCTTAGCGTGTAACCCAACCGAACACACTGCCCATACGCCCAAAAAACCCAAATTCGACCATAGTGGCGCTTACGCCCTTCTGATATGACGCCCTCGATATGATCTAATTATTGACACATACATAACTAAAATGAACAACCCAACATATTCAAACAGACAAGATCTTAAACAAAAACTAAGAAAAAGATTTATAAACTTATATAACATTGATAGGGACCGTGTTTTTTCTGGTATTAGGCTGTATGTTTTAATGTTTGATCTAGATCAACCAAACTTTGGCATACCTACTGAACCTAGAGAAAGCACTCAATATCTAACTAACCAAGATACATCAATGCCTGGAGCCAGCATTCAATCTTAAATTCTTATCTTCAAACATCAATAGGTTTAACAGGGAAAAACAATTAATCTATAATTACTTACAAAAAATAATATGCAATGCTCTTTGTTTGTGGAAACTAAATTAAAGGAAGAAATCAGCCCATTTAGAGATTGACCCATTATTCAAAAAAAGTGAATATACTTAACACTAACGTGAGAGGTGGCAGTCTTATTATGGCATCAAGAAGCTCGAAACTTGGCAAACAAAACCCACCAATAATCAACAACCCTATGAATGAAACTCTTCGTGTCTCCTTTTCCTTTTTCGCAGATAAACTGCAAATTTTTGTGGTATATAATGTATATTATGTCATTATAATTGAAGATTTTAATGTAAATCAGCAAAAGAAAAAACCTATATCTAACTTTTTAAATAATTCCAATTTTGAAGAACATGGATTGTGACAAATTTAAATCAATAATCAAGAAAATTCTTTTAACTTATTGTTTTTATTCTGTGGATGAGTACCTAGTAAAAACTTCCCTCATTGATTTTTCTGCAACTTTTTCACATTCTTTTAAATAACTTGTTTGTGTTAAATGTAGATTTAATTTGTGTTAAATGTAGATTTTTATTTATTTTATTTGTACTGTGATATTCTATATTTTATATTCTATATTTTAAACGACTTGCCAAAAATCCTCCCACTTTCATTATGGCCAATAACCCCGACTCTACGCCAGATATTCTTCTCTGTACAAAAACATAGTAAACAATATAAAAAACATATCTGTTCTCACAGACCTATGAACTGATCATTTAGCCATTCAATTTGAAATTATCAGCCATCAACTTCTAACAGCTTCCATTCCGGAATACTTCCTGAACTTTGATAGATGCAACTGAAAAAGTAAACATGAAACTATTAAATTGTCACTCTTTGGAAAGATCATTTGACAAAACATCTATTAAAAATTTTCTAGTACAACTGAATAAGAGCGTTATAAGTAACACAGCCAAAATAAAAAGATCATAAAAAACTACAATCTTCCATGCTATGCTGAAAACAAAAAGAAAACTGTACAGAGAAATTATACAAAATAATGATCCTCAATTAAAAACTCTATTCAACATATATAATATATTAGTCCACAATATGGTTGCCCAATACAAAACTCATAAATGGCTTGATAGTTGTAAAAACATGAATGACCTACGAGGCAAAAACTATTGGAAGGAAATCAAAAAACTTTTAAACAATGAAAACGGTCCCCAATCTCACAAAATTATTGAAAACAACCAAACACTAACATCAGATAAAAATATAGCCACAGCCTTCTTAAATTATTTTGAAAATAGCTAAAAAAATTTAGACGATCCCAAATTTGATGATACGTATCTTAACAACATCAATGTATGGTACAGCAATTTCTTTAAGGTACAAAACGTCAACTTAACCACTCCCACTATTAGCGAAACAGAATACTGTAAAGTTCTACAAGAAGGAAAAAATTACGCACCAAGACAAGACTATGTTAACAGAAAAATCTTGAGAAATCTTCTACCAGAAATCCATGAATACATCTTAAAAATCTATAACTACTGTTTTAAACACCATTACTTCCCGTCAATATGGAAAGAGGGCATTATCATAACTATTCCTAAATCTACATCTGCTTAAACACCAATTGATTACAGACCAATCACTCTTCTACCTGTGATTGGTAAAAACTTTGAAAAAATTATTAAAAATCATTTACTCCAGGAGATCGGCGATAAGATTCTGCAGTACCAATTTGGTTTTAGAGAAAAACACTCGAAAATACATACGCTAATTACCCTGGTCTCAAATCTGCAGCAACACAGCATAATAGGACACCATTCGACAGCTCTTTTCCTTGAGATTAGCAAAGCTTTTGATAGTGTGTGGCATAGAGGCTTGTTATATAAACTCTATCTTCTGGACTGCCCAGAATATCTAATGTGGCTAATTAAAAACTTCTTGGAAAACCGATTCATTTCAACATCTTTTTCAATGGCCCAAGGAGTTCCTCAAGGCTCCCCATAATCTCCAACACTCTGCAATTTATTTGTTTACGATATAATAGATTTAGAAAACAAAATACATATATATTATTATTTTTAGAAAATAACACAAAATTAACTTGACACTGACAGTAAATTAATGTTAATTATTTGTATTAATTCACGTGGTGGGAGCATAGTACCTATAAATTTTGATAAATGTGATAAAATTTGCTAATAAAAATAATTGGGCTTTGCTGTGTTTGATATAAGACAAAGCTAGAAACAGATGTTGGATTCATTCGTAATACTTGACACATGTGTTATAATAACGTGACGTCAAGCGCTTTGAATCTTGCATTTTTTAAAACGCTATAGCGTTCCTAAAAAATGTTTGAGAAACATAGGAAAAAAAATAATAACAAACTCGTATGCGTAGATTTCAATTATGCAATAAAAAATTGCATGTCCCAACGCCATTGCACCTTTCAAATTTCGCCAATGTAGGAAAATGAGTTTAAGCACAAAAATGTAGATTGCACTACAAAAAAGGTAAAAGATAATACTCGATTGCTCTTATGGTTTTTGGCAAAATTTGTATTTTAATAACTCGCGGTTGGTTGTACATAAAAAAAATAGTTGCACCAGATAATTATTGATAAAAATGATAATTTTTATTGATTTTAGTGCATTCCAAATGTGTTTTGTGTTATTAGCGATTTTTTGTCTGTACTTTAATAACCAAGAGTAATATACAGATAAAAGAGGCCTCTTAATAAGATGGTCTTATCGATAATACCTCTTATTCATGAAAAAACGATTTTCCGAAAATCTCTACAAAATGGTATTTTTATTTATAAATGATCTGATTTGACAGTGCTTTAGCTCGAATCTCTGATCAAAATTTATTATCAGAAATAAGGCCTCAAGATCACATTTAAGAAAAATACTATTTAATATTGAAAATATTTACCGTACCTAAAATCAAGTTTTAGAGGTATATTTTATTGGCTAATTTACTGAATTACTCATTTTGATATTAATTTAGAATAAATTAAGCAAATTAGTGACAAGCAAATAAATACAAACAAACCTTTGGCAATGCAACGTGGTCTTATCGAGTTAGGGCCGGTTTATCAATGTCCAGTTAAAGTTGCAGTTAGTTATCTGGTAGATAATTTCCATGGATACCATTGTTTTCACAACGATCTATATGGAATTTAACTGTCAGATAGACTAACTGAAACTTAACCAGAGATTGATAAACCGGCCCTTAACCCGGTAAGACACACGTTACCAAGGTAGTTGCTATGTAAAGTAAGAGAAGTAATATATTGCAAGGGATGATACACGGTGATTGCAACGACTGTGAAGTTTGCTGCCCGAGCGAAGCGAAGCAACGGATGTAATAGTTATTGGAAAGTGCTACTTTTTTGCACGCGACTGTCGCTAAACGGTTCAGTTCAGTCAGAAGTCGTGTGCTGAAAATTAGCACTTTCCGCGCGTTAGGACAATATTTTTTCTACAAGCAAGGAAATCTCTTAAAAAAAAAAAATTTCCACAAGAGTGCGGAAAGTTGTCGAGCGTTCGGAAAGTAAACGTGCGGAAAGTAGCAACTGTAAGAAGGGCGTAATATAAAAAGGATAAGCAATAGAATTATTTTATTTACTTAAATTTACATTAAATGTACCATTACACGCACTGCAGCTCTTCAATTAAATCACTCAAGTGGGATAAAATTTTGGCTAAAAGCATTAGAAATTATTGATAAAAACTAAAAAAACTTATAACCCCTACTTAAAATGCCGATAAATATCCTAAACTAAAAATAAACACTGCTCTGTCAAAATACTGCGCTTAAATTAATTTTGACGTACTGACATTTGTTTGGAGTTCCGACATTGGCGACTCGTCTATCATCATAATAATATACTATAGTATTATAATAAACTAGTTGTTCTTTATTTCGTTCAATTAAAATTTAATAAATAATCAATATATATTCCGTGCGATTATAATTAATATAATTAATACATCGTGATTGCATTGTATGAAATGCTAAATTAACTTTATTATTTGACGTCTATTGAGTCACCTTTGGATTTACTTCTATCCCTAGGCTTTTTTGAGTTTTTGTCTGCCGCTACTGAAAAATACGCACTTCAACTATCTCTATACATGCATATGTATATCATGGCCGCTTGAAAAAAAAAGTTTTTTGGTGAGCGAGCGAACAAAAAAATCATTCGAGAATGCATAAGAATTTTGCAATCGAAAACGGTATGCCACAGTTCATAAAGTAGATTTAACGGATAAAGCATTAAAAATTTCGGGTGAAGAGTTTACCGTGAAGTGCCCATAAAACGTTCTCTTTACTTTCACTATAAAAACTGCTCCTATATCGGATTTAAACGATTGTAAGTTCATTTTCAATAGATAAATTTTGATTAACACAAAAAAATTTGGCGTTTGCCGCACGTAATACAGATTTAAATCGTTTTTAGATAATAAGTATTTGTCGTAGAAAAAGTATAGTATGCCACTAGTTTATAAAATTTTCTAGGCACTCCCTTGCAGCTTCGCTCGTGCCTAATCTAAATATGTGATTAAAATGGTGTTTATCGGCACTTAATAAATATAATATAATAGTTAACTTTTAATGACAGTTTTCTAAAAAAATAAGTTTTATTTCAGTAAAATATCGTTCCGCGGCACTTCACCTAGGACAAAAAGTTTATGAGATATGGCCCTAAAATGTTTTTTCTCAAGGTAAAACTTTTTACAGTATTTTATAAACGGTTCGCCGTATGTTAAAAATGTATATTGTTTAAAACTGGATGACCTACAACCTTTATAATAACCTAAACTATCGTCCGATCATTAGATAAAGAAATATTTTCTGTATACCGCAAAAAGAAAAAAATCATAACACAAAACAAAAATGTTTGTAAAGAAAAGATTATTTTTTATCAATAATACATCCAGTGCAATATTAAATTATTTTTTCTAGTAACTTATTTATTTTAATTAACGCAAATGGTGTTACGCTTTTTACGAATTACACTGAAGATACGACTTTTAAATTTATATAAAAAACGATTTCAAAATTTTAACTTTAGGGTCCTATAGCGCCCAAACTAAGCAAGTTTATACTAAAGTTCACATAAATCAACTCATACTTTGGTGTAAGAAATATGTCGTAGGTTTTTGTAAACACCTTTTACAGGCCCTGCAAAATGTCCCAGCATGAAAATAAATGTTAAATTCATAGATTCTGTTTGGCGAATGTTTTACCTTGCGTCATCAATTTCTTAACCAAAAATAGACATCTGCACGCTGCGCGAAGGCGCTTGGATTCAGCGATTCTATCCTATTCTAGATTAATGACGCAAAATTTTGACATTTTAAATTAATGAAAATTGATGATGCAAGGTAAAACCATGGAGCCTACACAAGGAGTCCAAACATGTATAGAAATAGCTTCCTAAAATAAGAATTTATTGTTTGTACCAAAACAGTACCTACCAAAACAGCAAAGTCAGAAGTCAGTACCCAATGGAAATCAGCGCAGCTGTTGTTGAAAAAAAAGAACCTATGTTGTGCGTTTTAGTGGGCAGATCATCCCCTATTAAGTTCGAACACCTTGTATAGGCTCCATGGGAAGAACATTCGCCAGCAGACTATATTTCTGTTGGAACAACCACTTGGTGCTACTTTTTACTCACCAATGTCTTCTGAAAGAGTCGGGAACTCGTAAATATGTTCACAGGTGTTTCTTGAATAGGGAATGCAAAATCCAAATTCAAAATCAAAGGTTTTTAACAGTTTGTCGCGGAAAAAATGCCTTTCTATCATCCTAAATCTGTTCACTGGTCGGCTTCCAACTGTAAATTCCACCCTGAAATGTTAAACAAAAACAGTTATTTCTGCTTAAGTTGAATTTCTTAAAACAATTATATTTGATATCTGACATCTAGGGCATTTCATGTGAAGCGGACAACGAAAAGTGTGAGATTCTAATATTTGTTCACATTTATCCTAATTGTACTTTTAGAAGGTGTGAATATAAATACACAATTTATTTTGCATGAGGCTTAGTTGTCAAGTTATGGGCTTCTAAAGATTAACGTAATATGAAGTACGGATAAGAAGAAGATTTTCGAATTAAACATATCTACAATAAAATATGAATTTCATATTTTATTTTAAATTTTTTTAACAGTGATTTTATCGAAACTTTACTATATGGCACGCCGTTTTACTTTTTAATGACATCAAAAAATTAACTCAAAACAAAAATTATCAAAATTAAAAATTGCCTAGAAAATATAAACGTTCATAAAAATTACTAAATTAAATTTAATTATAAATTAAAATCTACCAATTTATTTTTTGGTGTATTGGATAAGTTTCCATATATATTTACATCATTCTGGTGTGATCTATATTTTTAAGCCTCAGTTTTTATTGTATGAATATTTTTTTTCTATTTAAAAGAGGTGCTTATATGTAAATAATAATATTTCATTTATTAATTTAAAATTAAGTTAAACTAGAATATTTATTTTGGAATAAAAATTAGACAAGATTTAAATCTGTAAGCGCAAGGCGAATTTTCTCGATGAAAAATTCGATGAATTAAAATGTTGTTTAACACTCGTAAACAGAATTTTAATTTGGCGCTAGTGCATATTGCGGTTGTGTTACGTACTACTGCCACGAAGCGAAAATTAGGCAACAGTGCAGTCCAAAATTTTCAGTGCTATCAATAATGTAATACATTAAATCATTTAATTTAAATGTATATCGACATGATAATGATTATTAAATTATGTAAGGGGTGCATTTCAACAAGACTGCCCTGCTGGCTAACCTCACTTTATACGAAATAATTTAGATATGGACTCTCCTAATAGACAATTTAATTGTGGTTCATTATTTGCTTAGTTGTCTATGCAATAGGATTTCTCGCAGAAGAAGATATTTATATAATTACCAGAATTGTCCTACTCGTTACGTGTCCGAGCCGACTACCTGTACAGTAGGTATAAATAATCCACAAACTTAATGAATGTAATTAATGGTAGATTGAAAATATTCCATCATTGTTGTTTATCTTTTAGTCAATAAAAACCAATATTTTAGTAAAACAGATTTTCTTTATTTTTATTTCAAAAAATTAATAAATAGACCTATCCCATAAAACAGACTTTTGGATAGCGCGTGCCTGAAGAAGAGTGGTATCTCTTTCTCTTTTATATAATTAAAAAAAGACGACGTGCCTTTTCACGCACGCGCTATCCAAAAGTCCGTTTTATGGGATAGGTCCATTAGATAAGAAATTAAGGAAAGCAAAACAGGTAAGTAAATAAAATGACAGCACTGAATTTGAATGCACCGTTGCCTAATTTATTTACCTTCGCTTGGTGGCAGTAGTACGTAACACAACCGCAATATGCACTAGCGCCAAATTAAAATTCTGTTTACGAGTGATAACCAACATTTTAATTCATCGAATTTATCAGTAAGAAAATTCGAGGTACATAATATTTATTCAAAAAAATAAAAACAAGGAATTATTATTCTGTCACATACAAATAGCATTGAATTTATTATCTAAAAAAATAATCGGATTAAAAGAAAGATTCTTAAATAAAAATTCGTATTGCTGGATTTAAATAACATAATAATTAATATCAACTATACCACAACTTTATTCCTGTATAAAAATTGTTTCAAAGAGTTTTAAACAACAAAATATTTCGTATTAAAAGTAAATATTAAAATTTTTAAAAATAACAATAAGAATAAAATTGTATTCAATTCTTATTAGTCAAATAAAATTTTAAGTAATATTATAAACATTTAAATATTAAAACAAATATTTCGTGCAAAATATTTGTGTGTCGAATAAGAAACTTTATCACTTTCCAAAAGGTAAATTGATTTTTATGTCGACGAGTAATAATAGAAATTAATTGCGACATAATGATAATTTCAGTATTTCTTTTTCTTAAATAAATGTCGCGCACCTTGAATTAACTGGCTAAGAAATTCGATGAATTAAAATTTTGGTTTACATAATTTCAATTTGACTGCGTGTTTCTCAAATAGCGCCTTATTAAAATTATCTCAATCCAAATTTTAATTCATCGAATTTTTTAGTCAGAAAATACGCCATTCAGTTCCAGAATTAAAATTACTTTAATTCTTATTCTGTGCTTAAAATTGTGTACTTAATATACCAAGACATCATAAAATTTTTACTTTAAAATGTTCAGTCAATTTTTAAAAACGCAACTTGAATTAATATTTAGCTTTAATAAACATGACATTAAAAAGTATAACGGCGTGCCATATTACTGTTTACTTGATATTATAAATTAGAATTTTAACAACTTTGACTTCTTTTTTATTATTTTAATTTGAAAATATAGCCCAAAGTATATAAATAAATAAATTTCAAAATGGGATCTACAATAATTTAGGTGATGAATTAGTACCACACCAATATTATAATACGCGTATATACTTTAATTCATCTATCTCCTAAACAAACGTAGATTATATTTTAAAATTTTCGATGTATTACATACATTAAGCTATATTTTAAAATTAAAATTTTCGAAAACAAAATTAAATTTCATGTTTTATTTTACTTAAATCTGTTTAATTTAAAAAACACCAATCTCAAAGCAGTGGCGGATAGGGGTGTCAATCCCGAGCTCTTTTTCCAATCCCGGGACCAAAGGTAACTAAACCCGGGATCAGTCCCGAAAAAATATAAATCATTAATTTTAAAACCAATTTAAAATAACAAACAAACAAACAAACAAACTAACGAACGATATCTTTCGGACTTCACACTAGTTGGAGGAATGGTTTTCATGAACTCGTAGGCACATTGTACCCACGTTTACGCACATTAACAAATAATATCATTTATTTTATCAATCGGGTCTTGGGACTGTAAAACTTTTTTCTTCTGCTCGTATATGGAAACCTCCTCGCCATCGCTATATTCTATTCTATCTGAAAAGTTTTTTCCATTCAGGTTTAATATTTGCGACCGGCCTTTTCATTTTGTCCTTAAAATCCGCCGTAGCCACTTGTAAAACGTGCGAGTTTTGGAACCATATTTTGCATTTTGAATGCCATTAAATAGTACATTATCTAACAGGCGGAGAAAGCGCTGATTTATAGCAGAGCTCAGTGATCTGAGCTAGGCAGTTAATATGCTTTCTCCGCCGTGTTGTGCATACCTACTATTTGTTTCAAGCGTTTAATAATTTTGTACTTACACTGAAATTATCGAGTTTGTGACATTTTCTCAGGTTTGACGTTTAAAATATGTTATATTTACGTACATGAATTTATTCTACAGTGACCTGTAATTTTAAATTTTCTTTGCTGATTTTATACTAAACGCGATAGATGGAACCGCTCTTGCTATGCAATTTCAATGTATTTTCATTATTATACGGCGGTGTATAATAATTTGACTTTTGAACTGCGTATAAAAATTAAGTATTTCTATATATGCTTGACTATTGAGTATGAGTATTTTATTCTTTGTAACCTTTTTACCAAGATCCCGGGGACTTTTGATTCTTAAACAGAAAGCAGAATATATTTTTCTGAAGGTTTTTGACATGCTGAATTCTATGTCGACCTCAGAATTGCTCCATCATAAGGAGTTCCAACCCCAAAATCAAAAAATTCAGTTTTTATTTAATTTTGAGGTTAAATTACATCACATGGTTCTGGAGGCCAAGGCCCAGTGCACCACCTGCACTAGCACTAGTTTTAGATCTGGCTGTAGGTATTATTAAAGTTGAACTAGATCCGAGTAGATATGTCATTGCCATGCCCTAATATGGTGCTTTTCAATTGACCGTTTTGAGCATGCAATGCAGCCCTGGGTTTTAAGTTTGTGTTCCCATTACTCTTGGTGTTTAAAACCCGGTCCGCGCAGAGGCTGCATAGCCTGCTCAAAATGGTCAATTGGAAAGCACCTTATATGTACCTACTATGGGTTAGGTACACCTAAAAGTCCCACCACTCGATTTTAATAGAAATAATTAAGGTTAATTTTCTGTCAGTGTCAAGCTAATTTGGTCTTATTTTCTAAAAATAATACAATATATATAATCAATTCACGTTTGGTAGCCCAAACTAACTTTGTATTAGTTTGGCTACAATGACAATTAAGGCGTTTGTTTTTTTATATTTTTTAGTTTCAATTTTAAAATTTGATGAGCCATAAAAAACAAATATTAGAAATATTGGTATACTTACGTTGCTCCTACTGTCTTTAATTTTAAAAATTGTGGGGTAAATTGATATCTAACAAATCGTCCGGAATTAGGGTCAATTGGTTCATTATTTTCGATATTTTCCTCGGAAACGTTTTCTAAATTTTCCGTTACGGGCTTTGATATTTCGAACAAAATCGCCCCGGACTCCAAATCTCGAATTTTGAACCTCGTAAAATCAATTTCGTAAATGTTTGCGTCTGGGGTACACAAATAATTTTCCGATATTTTGTTTAAACGTAATACATCGTCCGGAGTTATGACGTTCGTTTTTTCCAGCTGCGTTAAATGTTTTGAAATGTTTTTCTCACGAACCACACTCATTTTTAAAGGAATTTTGTCGAAATAATCAATAAAAACACCAAAAATTGTTGAAATATCAACCTGAATTTTGACAACTGCAACTGTCAATGCGCGGCCAATCGGAGCGAAGAATCGATTACCACGTTTTGCACTATATACACTAGAGTACACGGCAATTAAAAACAAACTTTACGTTAAAAATTTATTATATCGCACATGGGCGACAACAGTGTCATAAGTAGTAAAACGAAAATTCCGATATAAGTTTACGTAAAAGATTTTTGAATAATAAAATTCTGACATTTTTGTCAGATTTTTATTATTCAAAAATCTTTTACGTTAACTTATATCGGAATTATCGTTTTACTACTTATGACCCTAGACTAGGCTTATGACACTGTTGTCGCCCATGTGCGATATGTCAAATAACAAAAATTCTGTCGAAAATACATATTCAAAATCCCAAAACATGTAAGTAAAACATGTTAATGTATAAAATACATACACATATGTCCAAAAGTTTGGAATATTGCAATATTTCTTTTTTTATTGATATTTATATATATTTTTTTTATATAGGTAAATACCATTTTATAACGACTCCGACCAATAATAAATAAACCTCAAAGACAGAGAAAATAGAGTAAATATTAACAACAGTTTTATTAAACTACCATAGGCGTAGATATATTATTTGTAATCATGGGCGCCGGAAGGAATTCGTCTAGAGGGGGGCCTTAAAGTTTTTTGCAATTTTGATAGATGTTACTTATAATCAAGTTGTACTGTAGAGGTCACATTAAACTTAAGTCAAATAAAATATCTTTATATGTATATTTACCTATTTATTTATATTGGTACATATTGCAAAAAATACATCACATCACTGCAGTTTTGGTAAATAAATAAATATAAAAAAATTGTATCGCCGAGGAATCTCCTCTAGTAGTACAGCCGTCTTATGTATACGCTATACAAATTATGATAAATTAAAATATAACAAAAAAATTAAATACAAACATGAGTAATATTTTAAAAATAAGTTATAACAATAACAAAAACTTTAAAAAATGTGGTTGCACTGTAGCGACTTTTTTAGGTAATACATATCGATGTTATGCTATAGCATGACTCTATAGACTAGTAATAACAGGATAATTATAAGCAATTTTTGCGTGTAACACGTCTTATTTTTTGTTTTGCAACACGCCTATTAGGTATTATGGTTATTTATAATATTATACAAATTATGGAGTACCGGAATTTCTTGGTATGAATTTCCAGGGGGGGGCCCGGGCCCCCCCCCTGCCCCTATGTAGCGGCGCCCATGTTTGTAATTATTCCAAACTTTTGGACATGTGTGTACGTATATCATATATATGTTACGGCTAATGTGTAAACATGGATAGTTTATAAAGTAGCTGGGTAGTTTATAAACTAGCCAAACTGTCAGCTATTTTAATTGAAAACGTATTTTTAACTAAATTAGCGGCTAGTTTGTAAACCAACCAAGGGTCTTGGCTAATTTACTTGAAATTATTTAGGAATAGCTGGATAATTTGTAAACTATCCAATTCAATTTGGCTAATATGAAAACCAAAATTTCTAGTAACACAACATAGCCAAGCTTTACTTAGATAGTTTACAAACTAACCAAGCAATATTCTGGCCAATTTATTAATAACCTATTTTTTTATTGTCTTGGCGGGGATGGGTTGATTGTTTATTTAAAATAATATATATTTCACCAACACGATGTGCGTAATTATATAATAATCATACAAAATGTGAAGGTGTCAATAATATGTTTTTTATTGCACATTGCCATGTTTTTAACCGCTCCTTATTTGTTTAAACATGGACCGCTTCATTTTAATGCCTGAACGATAGCTTTGCTGGTTACATTTTGGCACAATACAGGACTTCATGTCTATTAAAAAGCACAAATAGATTTGTTGGTAAACTTCGAGAAAGTAAACAGTGTAGACCATAGAAAAAGTATGTAGACTGAGATTTGATATATCAAATCTCAGTCTACACTATTTACTTTCTCGAAGTTACCAACAAATCTATTGATTAGTGTGAGGTTGGCAACACTATTTAATATTGTGACGTTTCGTGTGTCAAAAACAAGAGGCGTTTGCAAATATTACAAGTATTACTAAGAAAATAAAGGTAAATAAACATTTTTGCCTATAATAAATTGACTAATATTGCGTTTGATAAGCCTAATACAGATGTAAATTGTTTATTTTGACAATGTTTCAGGATTTTAGATATCACGGCAAAATGACCGACTCAAAGTATTTTACAACAACTAAAAAGGGTGAAATTTTCGAGTTAAAATCCGAGTTGAACAATGATAAGAAGGAGAAGAAGAAGGAGGCAGTCAAAAAAGTATTGTTTTCCAAATTTGAAAGCAAACTTTTCATTAAAAAACACATTTTAGGTGATTGCATCAATGACTGTGGGCAAAGATGTTTCAGCTTTATTTCCAGACGTTGTAAACTGCATGCAAACCGATAATCTTGAATTAAAGAAACTGGTTTATTTATATTTAATGAATTATGCAAAATCTCAACCTGATATGGCCATAATGGCTGTAAATACTTTTGTCAAGGTAAGCTTAATTTAGGTTCAGATAAATTTAAAAATATAGGTAATATATTTTTACTTTAAAATTAGTAGCCAAATTTCATGATTTTAACTAATCTTGATAATTAACATCATCATGGAAAATAATAATTCATAACCATCCAGTGTTGCCAGATTATTAAAGCGCTTCCCCCCCAAATGATCCAGAAGAAGGCAATTTCCACCTAGAATTCAGTGCTTTCCCCCTAATGATTGGATTTCAAAATTTTAGGTTTTTACAGTGTAAAAGTTAAATAACAATTTTCTCTGACACATTTTTTTTTCATTTGGGGTGATAAAAACAATAAAAATGTTTGTCCTTCATTACATAATATTGCGCCCTGCGCTATTGTCAACATTAGAGGTCCTATTTACAATATTATATTGTAGATAGGAACTCTGTGTTTCACTGCGTGCCTGAACGAAGTTTAAGTCACATAAAAATGACGCCAAAAACTGATTGCAGTTTCTTGTTCGGGACCCTTTGGTGAATTAAAAATGAGTACGCATTTGTACACCGACTTTTATAAAATTAGAGTATATTATTGAGGATACTTAAAGAATACTTTTTAATACTGTTAACATAATTTGATATATACAGGGTGAGCCAAAAATCGCTTATTTTTAATAAAGCAAAAGGGAAAATTCATGATTTTGGCATAACACGCAAAACAGATGTATCCCCATTTTTTTTAGATATTTCTACGTTTATTAGGTTACAAAATGGCATTCTTATTAACCTTTTAATAAAAAAATAGATTTTTAATAAAATTAAATAAAATAACGCTTAGAGAATATTTAAAATGTTGTTTAATTTAGGCTTTTTAGAAGTTTTCAATTTTGAACGAAAAACTGGTTAAAGTTTTTTGATTGGCACTCTTTGGAGATTTAAAAACGATATTTACCAAAATTCTAACTGCTTTTCTTTAAATTTGTTAAAAAATCATTTTTTTTTTAATTATTTGTTTACCTTAATTGTCTACCTTTGCCTTTACACATTTGTACACCGATTTTTATTGATTGCAATTTCGTGTTCGGGACCCTTTGGTAACTTTAAAATGATATTTACCAAAATCCTAGCTGCTCCTCTTTTCGAAATTTTTTGAAAATTCTTAATTTTTTTTTAAATCTTTGTTTATCTTACCTTTGACAGAGTACACATTTGTACACCGATTTTTTTAATATTGGAGTATATTGTTAACGAGACTTGGAGAATACTGTTTTCATACTGAGCACATCATAAGATTTATACAGGGTTAGCCAAAAATCACGTTTTTATAAAAAAGCATAATGCACAAAACCGATTTATCTCCAAAAAATTTATTTTATTTAATTTTATTCAAAATCAATTTTTCTTATAAAGTCTTGATAAGAATCCCATTTTGTAGCCTGATAAACATAAAAATATCTAAAAAAACATGGGTGGGTATATATCTTTTTTGCGTGTTATGCCAAAATCATGAATTTACGCTTTTGCTTTATTAAAAGAAGCGATTTTTGGCTAACCCTGTATATATTAAATGATGTGCACAGTATAAACTAGGGATGTCAACTTTTAGAAAATAACCGGTTATCGGTTAAACCGGTTTTTATTAATAATGTTATAACTGCGGAGGTTTAACTGAACGTAAATAACCGGTTTTTTCAATAACCGAACAACCGGTTTTCATACAAAAACTGCACTGCGCCTCAATTTTATTTGATTTTGAAAAATATTTCCACACATCAGACATGATGCCTGCAAATTCTTGAAACAACTAAACTGTGGGTTTCACCGAACCGCATATCAAAGTCACCAACAAAAATTTGTTAGGACGGTTATTAATAATAATAACTTATTATTTCAGTGATAGATGGCCCATGTTCGTTTTTACCGTTACAGAAGATTTCTTTTTTCAGTTGTCATGGTAACTAGCAGACAGTTCTGTTAACTCTATCGAAACAACGACGAATCTATTTTAAATAAAATTACCAAAAAATTGTTTTTGTTAATATTTATATACATGTATGAATGTATTTAAATGAAATTATAATTAAGTGAAATATAGATTTCATTAAATTTACTACTACTGAGCTATCTTGCGTTGAATGGTCAAACTATACAAGGTATAGGAAACTGTAACAATCTTGCAGAGATGCCAACCGACATTGTGGCACCTAAACTTTAGGTAGGTTTTGGTCAAGGATGATAAAGTGACTAAACCATTGAAAACATTTTCATGTAGGGCACGCAAAATAACAAGAATTGATGCGGTTTTTTTGGCCGGTTATTGAATTTTAAAAATAATCACCGGTTTTAACTGTATTAAAAAAAAACCTAAATAAACCGGTGTTACGAAACAAAATAACCGGTTACTCGGTTTAACCGACGGTTTATTGACATCCCTAGTATAAACAGTATTCTCCAAATCTCCTTAACAATATACTCCAATATTATAAAAATCGGTGTACAAATGTGTACTCTGTCAAAGGTAGACAATTAAGGTAAACAAAATTTAAAAAAAAAATCATGAATTTTCAAAAAATTTCGTAAAGAGGAGCAGCTAGGATTTTGGTAAATATTATTTTTAAGTCACCAAAGGGTCCTGAACAAGAAACTGCAATCAGAAGTATTTATGTACAGTGGTGGACAAGGAATTTTTAACTGGCGTTTTCGTATAAAATCTTTATACAAAGAGATATTAAAAAATTAAAAAACAAAAAAGCATCGCTAAAATTGATAAAATAGATATAAAATTGTTTTTTTCACCCTGTATATTTTTGAATATCAGATAGAGTTTATTATTCTAATTTTAAAAATATATAATTTGTATACGTTTGAATAAAACATTTTTTCTACTCCCACCTTTAAAACGCCCTTTATCGTACATGTTTCCATGACACTAAGTGACCTTTTAAATACACATTGACAAGTTGTGGCTTTATGGCGCTTTAGTCACGGGCTGAAGTTAGCAACAGGTTTTTAGTCACGGGCGGAAGTTAGTTTTAAGTTAGTTGACAGTTGTCAAATGTCATACAATCGTTAAAATAAAGTGCCTTTCTTGTAAAATAATACTAAATGTGAAAATTATTTTATTATCTCAATACAAAAATACTACAGTATTAAATTGTTTCTCAACGCCAATATTTGAAAAGTTTATATGAACATTGTACTGACCTTAAATTCGGGCACGGATTCCACTGTAAAGTCCTCATAAAACATTTTCTTTACTTTCACTGTGAAAAACTGTCAATTTTCAAGAAATACATTTCGATTTATAATAAAAATGTGACATTTGACGGTGACACACAGATTCCCCTTTTGTTTCATAGATGGCGCTCTATACAATTTTTTGATTTAAATCATATTAAGATAATAAGTATTTGTCATGGAAAAAGTATAGTATGCACCTCGTTTATAAACTTTTCTATACACTCATTAATTTAAGCACTCGCTCGCAAGCTCGCTCGTGCCTAAATTAAATTCGTGTATAAAATGGCGTTTATCAAACTTGATACATAATATACTATTATACTAATACTATAATTTACTAAAATATCCATAGACATTTTGGATAAGTCAAATAAGTCAACAAGTCATTAAAAATATAGGGATAAATATCACCAGATAATCAAAAAGACCGAAATTTGCTGTAGGTCGCCGAGTGATCCGCACTTAGCATTTATAATATGTAACCAAATTAAATTTATATGATTCTATAATTTGATTTAATTCGATTTAGGTATCAGTTTTTGGCCAAAAACTTCTGTATACCTATAAAAATCCTCCTGGAAACTTCGTCCCCATAAAACTCCACCTGAACTTAAAAAAAACCTAAATCTAGGGGAAAAACCCCTGATCTGGCAATAGAACACATAAAAATAATATGACAAGTTCCTATAATTTTTTTTCATAAGGCCCCTTCTACGGAGATACGGGCCCATAATGGACGCCCCTAAAATAGTTTAATATTTAATAATTAGTTTTTTTAATATGTTGGTTAATAGGAAAGTTTCCTTAAAATGGGTACTTTTAATCACATTTGGCCTATTTAGTTTTTATCTTTTTTGAAAATGTTTTTTTTACATTTACAGAATTAAATAATGATGTCAGTGTCAGTTGAAAATAGAGTGTTTTGATATTTTCGATATATTTCTTCTTTTCAGCCGCGTCCGTTATGGACCAGTATCTCCGTGGAGTGGGCCATAGTTAAAAAAATGAATAGGAATTTGTCATATATTATTTATTCTATCTAAATCCGAGAGATTGCCCAAATATTCTGGGACACCCTGTATATTCAGCGTTTGTGTAAAACTAATAAAATCTCTTAGATTCTTGTATACAATTGGGAATTTGTAAAAATTTAAAAAATGATCTTATAACGTTTGTACATTATTTTAGTTGACATGTATTTTTTGGTAATTTTTTTAAACCAAGGAAATTAATTTTAAGTGTTTGAAAGATATACTTTTTTAATTAACCAACTTTCGAATATACGTGTGACGTCATTTCAATCCAATAGTACCTACTCTTTATCACACCTTAAAATTTAAATTGTTATTGGAAATTTTAGACACAAATAAATTTAATCCATCATTTAAGCATATTTAGATGTAGAAACAACTTTCACTAAAATATATGTTTATCTACTTCTATTGCTTAAAATTAGTTTTTCCATGTGATAGCCATTATAACCGCCGCGCCCAACAATGGGAATAATGAACTCATTATTCATCAGTGATTGTCCGATGTCAATTTTAAGTGATTTAACACATTTATTGTAATTTATTAAAGTGTTCTGAAACGAATTTTACAGAAATTCGAAACAAAAATATGTCAGCACTAGGGGGTCGTTAAGGCTTCCTCAGTCAGCAGTGAAAGTGTCCAACCAATCGGGTTTTAAATTTTGGAAAGGCGACTATCTGACATATGTCAGATTTTATTTATTTACTTTTGTAAATCATTTAAATATCTAATTGGAGTAGATAAATTATAGTTTTACACTC